ATTTCGCGGTCCCATAGGGACCTCCACCGAATGCGTTACTCACGAAGACGGCATTCACAACTGCAGATGGCCGGGGTGTTCGCCAGGCTAACTTCTCACCCACCCCCCTCTCCGAGCCCGCCGCTGGTGTTTCGAGGGGCAGCCCCGCCACCACTGCTTCCGATGTCCTGCGGCGCCCTGTTAAGTTTCCTGGTCCCCCCCCCCCCCCTTTGCCTGCCCCTTGCGCTTTTTTCGTTCGTCGACGGCGGCGCGCTTGCGGTGGCCCTGACGGCGCCTGTTTCAGACTGGTGGCTTCTGTGGAAGAACCCTGGTACGATGCCATGCATATGTTGGGGATGTTCCAATGCTAATGAGATGCGCCAGCGCTAATGGACGCGGCGTTGCTTGGCATTGGTTGGTCATGTTTGGAACTACTTGCCATCGAGTGGTCCTGCTTGGAATTGGCCGGTTGTGCTTGGCGTTGCTTGGTTGTGTTTGGCACTGAATGGTCGTGCCCGGATGTGCTTCGAATTGGTTACTCGTGCTCGGCATTGCTCAGCATTGCGAGGTTGTGCGTGGCATTGAATGGTCGACCTTAGAAATGCTTGGCATTGCTCGGTCGTGTGCGGCACTGAGCAATCGCGCTTGGCATTCCGTCGCATTGGTTGGTCATGCTTGGCATTGCTTGGCCGCGCATGGCATTGAATGGTCGTGCTTGGTATTGCCTGGCATTGGTTGGTCATCGTCGGCGGTGCTTGGCAACGAGTGGTCCTGCTCTTGCCATTGCCTGGCCTTGGTAAGTAATGATTGGCACTGGGTGGTCATATTGATTGGTCGTGCTTGGCGTTGCTTGGAATTGCGTGGTCGTGTCTGGTTGTGCTTGGCATAAGTTCGAGGTGATTGGCATTGGCTGGTCGCGTTTGGCATTGCGTTGCACTGGATGGTCGTGTTTGGCGGTGCCTGGCAATGACTAGTCCTGCTCGTGCCATTGCCTGGAATCGGTAGGTAGTTCTTGGCAATGACTACACCGTACTGGAGAATCCTTACTAAGGAATCCTGATTGAAGATCCATCACTAAGGAATCCTGGCTGAGGAACCTTTTACGAAAGAAAACGGAATCGTGTATAAGGAATCCTTAAACCGGAATATTCATGAGAAACCCTTTTTCAGGAACCGCTACTGAAGAATCATTGGTAAGGAATCTGCTTTAACAATCCTTCGCAAAGAACCTTCATTGACGAATCCTTGATCAAGAATCGTGCCTAAGGAGCCCTGGGTACGGAATATGGCTGGACGATTTGTTGATGAGGGGTCTTCACTCAAGAGTCCCTAATCTGGACTATGTACTCCGGAACCTTTAAAAAGAGTACGTCCGAAAGAAAATGTTCCAAGGAATCCTTGCTAAGGAATCCTTACTAACGAACCCTCACTCAGGAATCATTACTCAAGAATTCTTGATAAGGAACCCGTAATAATGAATCCGCACTAAGGAACCCTTACGACAAAATCGCTACGAAAGAAGATGTACTAATGGATCTGACTTAATTCAGGAATCGTTAGCACGGAACTTTTTGTTTTACTACGGGGTATGTACTAAGGAACTTGTATTATGTAATCTTCACTCCGGAATATGTATCAAAGAAGCCATATTCTGATACCCTTACTCATGAATCCTGACCCAGGAATCCTTACTCAGGAACCCTTAGTGTGAAATCTTTACCCAAGAATCCACGCGATGGGATGATTACTAAGGAATCAGTACTGAGAAATATTGGTTACGGCACCATTGCAAGCGAATCCTTCCGAATGAATCCCCATTAAGCAGAATGAATTAAGGAATCATTTTTTTTTCTAAGGAGTCCTTACTAAGGAACCCTCATTCAGGATCCCTTATTACGGAATCCTTCATAAGGAATACGTACTCAGGAATCTTGAGGAAAGAATATGGAATAAGGCATATGTATGAACGGATGCTTCCTGGGAAACCCTCACAAAGGAACCTGGAGTACGGAATTTGTATTAAAGAATCACTAATCGAGACAATTACTAAGGAACCCTCACTCACGATTCCTTGATAAGGGATCCTTACTAAGGAATATGTACTCAAGAATCAGAATGAAGGGATATGGATTACGGCATCTGTATGAAAGAACATGTGTCAAAGAATCCTCATGAAGGAATCCGTAGTACGGAACTTGCATTAAGAAAGCCTTACTCGGGACCCCTCAGTAAGGGATCCTGACTAAGGAATATTGCTTAATGAATCTTGATTGTCAAAAATCTGTGTTAAGGAGTGTGTACTAAAAGATTATGTAGCAAGGACTATGTGCGAAGGAGTCTGTGTTACGTAATTCGTAGTAAAGAATGTTTATTAAGGAACCCTTCCTGAGGAATACCTACTAAGGAATGTGGCTTAAGGAATCCTTCGAGACGGCGGACGCCGCGCGCAGGCCCCGCCGACCCTGACGGACACGGCGAACGCCGCGCGCAGGCCCTGCCGACCTCCGCAATCCCAGCGAGGCTCCAATCGCGATCAGGGTGCTGCCAAAAGTGTGCTCGGCGCCGAGGCGAGAGAGTCATGTTTGAAGAAAATGTGCGCGCGGCGCCGAGGCGAGAGTGCAAAATGCTGCCGAAGCACGAGCCCCAGACCACCACCCCAGAATCCCCCGCCCTCCAGAGCAAAACATGCACGCACATGTACTTGTTTCGCATCTGGGAAAACGGCCAAGAGCGTCCCACCGTGACCTTCTCACGACGCGGATGGGAAGGAGGAGGAGCAGGAGAGAGGGGGAGAGAGAGAGAGAGGGAGGAGGGAAGAAGATGAAGAAGAAGGTGGTGAAAGGTGAAGAAGAAAGGAGGAGGAAGTAAGGAGGAGGATGGAGAGGGGAGGCTGTTGCTCAGAGGGTGCATAGAATATTTCGGCCCTCAGGCCGCAGCACCCCTCGTCACGTGCGCCTCCGCTCGCGGGCCTACGGGCCATCTGGGAAAAAGGAGGGGCAGAAGGAGGAAGACGACGACGACGACGACGACGACGACGACGACGACGACGACGACGAAGACGACGCCCTTCCCCCCATCACCCCTGACAGCTGTAATGCCTCGACTGCGGCGCACAATGCGAGGGGAGGGAAGAGGAGGGCCCAGGGAGGAGCAGGGTTTGCAGGCCGACCCACTCGCCGCCACTTGCCGAGCACCTCCCCGCTTCGGGTTGCGCGCCTCTTCCGCACACGTCGGGCTCTGAGCAGACCGTCTGCACGCCGCCGGGCATGGGTCCCATGCCTGCCTACCCTCCACAACCTTGGACATCATCAGCTTGAAGGCACCATTTCCCTGCTCTCGCGACAGCGACGTCAATTCGCCAGCGGAGGGAAACTGGGGAGGAGGAGGAGGAGGAGGACCATTGGAAACCCAAGAGTCATCAACGGTGTTGGAATTAACCCTCCCTCCAAGCTCCCTCTTCATAGGCCCTTGGGGGAACTGCCCTATTGGAAGGCAACGGTTTGAAAATCCTGAAACGTGCTTCAACATTGTTCTCGGGACTTCAACGCCACGTATCAACGTGACTGCTGCGTCTTGACGATCCAGAATCGTGCCAGAACGCCGCTTTGGGGATTTCAACACAGCGAATCAACATAACTGCTGCGCCCGCAAAATTATGAATCCTTCCTAAACACCATGTCTGCTACGTTGATCATGAGAATATGTAAAACTCTTACAATGTGTTAAACGAATGTGCGCGGTGCTAACGCGAGAGCCACATTTTGAAAATGGCCCGTCCTTAATCGGGGAAGCTCTTGCAAATGCTCTAACACGAATGTGCGCGGCGCTAAGGCGAGAGCCACACTTTGAAAACCACCCGCGCTCAATCCGTGAAAGGATTGCAAATTTTCTAACACGAATAGGCGCGGCGCTAAGGCGAGAACCGCAATTGAAAAGCGGCCCACCCTCCATCTGTGAAACGGCTGTCACTTTTTAAGCTTCAGAGTCATAACATTAATGGCGAGGAAGTCTCAGGCGAAACGCCCGGCGCGCCCTAAAAACTGGCTTCGGGGTGTGACAGGGAGGAGTTATCTATAAGGAGAAGTCATGGAGGAGAAGAGGAGGGGGCAGAGGAGGAGGAGTTGGACGCGGGAGAGACAAAAGCAGGCAACAAAACGCGTTTCAGGCGGATGCGAGCCCCACGGCCTTCCCGGAGCCAAGCCCCGCGGCCGCCCAAATCTTGAAGCTCAAACCTGCCGCTGGCCGCATGCGCCACGGCCATTAGGCAAGGCTCAGAGCGGCAAGCGCTGGCGGCGGTGCACCCGGCAGTCTCCCCGACTCCCTGCTTGGGGTCTGAGGCCCACCTGGCGGCTCTGGCAGGCGCTGCGCAGAGACCCCGCCTGGAGCCAGCTCGTCCGCCAGGATCTCGGCCGCCAGATTCACACACACACACACACACACACGTCTCCCCGCAATGCCCTCGGCGTCACCCTCGCTGGCGCCAGCGTTCGCTGCTGACTGTTCCCATGGTGCCGAGCGAGCTCCCAGGAGCCAGCACCGGCAACCGTGGAACCACGCAGCCGCCGCGCGGACCACCAAGAACAAGAGCAAAGACAAATACGACAGCCACGACAAGCACGACGAACCTGACCGACAAGAGGAAAGGAGGCGGTAACTCCTAGGCGGCAAGGCAAGAAGGCCTGGAGGCGGAGCGGGAGCGATCGGAGCCGCGGGAGGGGCAGGAGGATAGCAAAAAGCGGGGCTCGAGATCCGTGGTCGGGGCGGCTCGACACGCCACGGCCCCTGTTCAATACACGCCAACGGCCGCCTCGGCCACCGGCACCCATCCAATGATCTCGTCACCAATGTGCTGCCGCATCACGGGGACACAAGGAGGATAAGGAGGAGGAGGAGGACGAGGAGGAAGAGGAGCAGGAGCAGGAGGAGGAGCAAGAAGAGAGGAGGAGGAGGAGGAGCAGCAGGAGGAGGAGGAAGAGGATGAGAAGGAGAGAGAGGGGCAGACTGAGCATGCTTTCGCCAGCCTGCTGAGCCCCGTCGAAGAACGGGGCGTAGAGGGCGACGACGCCGCCGTCCACCTCTCACATCCTGCTTTTCCTCCTCCGCCTCCTTCTCCTCATCCTCCCCCTCCTCCTCTTCCATGCTCTTCCCTTCTCCTCCTTCCCGCATTACCTTCCTCAGCTTGTCTCTCCCGCGTCCAACTCCTCCTCCTCTGCCCCCTCCTCTTCTCCTCCATGACTCCTCCTTATAGATAACTTCTCCCTGTCGCACCCCGAGGTGTTTAGGGCGGGCCGGGCGTTTCGCCTGAGACTTCCTCACCACTTATGACTCCGATGCTTAGAACAAGGCAATTGTTTCAAAGATGGACGGCGGGTGGTTTTCAACATGTGGCTTTCGCCTTAGCGCCGCGTACATTCGTTTAAAAAAATGTACAAGAGCTTCACGGATAGAGGGCGAATCGTTTTCAAAATGTAACTCCCCGCCTTAGCGCCACGCTAAATCATTTCAAGAAACTGCAAGAGCATCACGGATTGAGGGCGGGTCGTTTTCAAAATGTGGCTCTCGCCTTAGCGCCGCGCACATTTGTTTCTTCTTCAAAACTTGCCACAAAAAAAGTTTAACGGATTGAGGGCGGATCGTTTTCAAAATGTAACTCTCGCCTTAGCGCCGCGCACACGTTTTCAAAAATATGCAAGAGCTTCCCGGATTAAGGGCGGGTCGTTTTCAAAATGTGGCTCTCGCCTGAGCGCCGCGTACATTCGTTTGAAAAATTGCAAGGGTTTCGCAGATTGCGGGCAGCTCCTTTTCAAAATGTGGCTCTCGCCTTAGCACCGCGCACATTCGTTTCCAAAAATTTGCAAGAGCTTCTTGGATTAAGGGCGGGTCGTTTCCAAAATGTGGCTCTCGCCTTAGCGCCGCGCACATTGGTTTTAGAAATTTGCAAGAGCTTCCCCGATTAAGGACGGGACATTTTCAAAATGTGGCTCTCGTGTTAGCCCCGCGCACATTCTGTTGTTTTTAATTTGCAAAAGTTTCACGGATTGAAGGCGGCTCCTATGCAAAATGTGGCTCTCGCAGTAGCGCCGCGCACATGCGTTTTAAAAATTTGCATTAGTTGCACGGGTTCCCGCGATCAACGTACCAGAAATGGTGTTTTGGAAGGATTCAGGATTACGCGGGCGCAACAGTTATGTTGTTTCGCGGTGTTGAAGTCCCAAAAATGGCGTTCTGGCGCGATTCCAGATCGTCAGGACACAGCTGTCAGGTTGATCCGTGGCGTGGACATCCCGAGAACAATGTTTTGGCATGCGTCAAGGTCTTCAAACGGTTATCTTCCAACGAGGCAGTTCCATCAATGGAGATGAACCGTTGTAGGAGCCCATGAAGAGGAATATTGGAGAGGGGGTTGATTCCAACATCGTTGATGACTCTTGGGCTTGCACTGGTCATCCTCCTCCTCCTCCTCCTCCTCCTCCTCCCCCTCCTCCTCTCCCCCTTCCCCCAACTCCTCCTCCTCCTCCTCCTCCTTCTCCTCCTCCTCCTCCTCCTCCGTCTCCTCCTCTTCATCCTGCTCCTCTGCTCTTCCTCCTCCACCGCGTCCCTCCTCCCGCCCCAATCTCACCGTCCTTCTCCATCCTCCATCCATCCATCCATTCGTCCGTCCATCTCTCCCGACGTCGCGCCTCATCCTCCTCCTCATCCTCCTCATCCTCGCCTTCCTCGTCCTCCTCCTCATCCTCCTCAGCATGTTGTTGCGCTCGCGCTTGCGCGCACGCGCCGACGCGTCCCTTTGTGCCCGACGGAGGCCCACCGCGAGAGGGACCGAGGGCAGCAAACGCCCCCCCCCCCCACCATATCCACTGCCATCCACCGCCTACCCCCTCATCACAGCAGCGAGAGAGATCGCCTCGTCCTCATCCTCATCCTCCGTCTCGTCCTCGTCCTCCTCCTCCTCTCTTCGTCCTCCTGCTCCTCTGGTTCCTCCGCCCCCGCCCCTGTCATCGCCACAACTGCCTTCACCACCACCATCAATTCATTACCACCATCATTGGCACAATCCATCATAATCATCATCATCAGCAGCAACAGCATCATCATCATCATCATCATCATCATCATCATCATCATCATCATCATCATCATCATCATCACCATCAGGAGCATCAGCATCAGCATCAGCATCAGCATCAGCATCAGCATCAGCATCATTAGCATCATCATCATCATCATCATCATCATCATCATCATCATCATCATCATCATCATCATCATCATCGCTATCACAATCATCACCATCATCAGCATCAGATTCATCATCACCATCATCAGAATACGCATCATCGTCATCATCATCATAATCAGCAGCAGCAGCATCATCAGCATCATCGGCATCATCATCAGCATCATCAGCATCGTCATAATCATCGTCGTCGTCCTCATCGGCAGCAGCATCATCATAATAATCAGCATCATCAGCAACACGGTCGTCATATCGCCATCGTCGTCATCATCATCATCATCACCAACAGCATCGCCATCATCATCATCATAAAAATCATCAGCATCATCAGCATCCTCATTATGATCATCATCATCATCATCATCATCATCAGCAGCATCATCAGCATCATCATCATGATAATCAACATCATCAGCAGCAACATCATCAGCATCAGCAGCAGCAATGTCCCCATACTCATCAGTATCACCACCACCACCACCACCACCATCATCATCATCATCATCATCATCAGCATCAGCATCAGCATCAGCATCATCATCATCAGCATCAACATCATCAGCATCATCATCAGCAGCATCAGCAGCATCAGCATCATCATCGTCGCCACCATCACCATCACCATCATCATCGTCATCGCCATCGTCATCGTCATCGTCATCTTCTTCATCATCGTCGCCAACGCGTCGTCGCCGACATCGACGCAATCATAGTTAATGTCAGCGTCAGCATCAACATAATCGCCATCATCAGCACCATCGTCATCACCATCACCATCGTCATTGTCATTATCGTCAGCATCATCATCAAAATAATCATCATCATCATCAGACCCAGCATCATCATCATAATCATCGCCATCGTCATCATCATCAACATCAGCATCATCGTCAGCAGCATCATCATGATCATCATCAGCTGCAGCAGCATCGTCACCAGCATCGTCAGGTTCGTCGTCCGCAGGAACATCCTCCTCATCATCAGCAGCATCATCATTAAGAATGTCACGACCACTAACACCAACAAAACCAACAACAACAACAGCAGCAACAACTGCAGCATAATTATCAGCAGCATCCTACTCAGCATTCTCAACAGCAGCATCATCATCGCCATCAGCATCATAGCAATCAACATCACCATCATCATCGTCCTCGTCGCCGACGTCAACATCATTAGCATTTGTATCAGCATCGTCGTCTGTGTTGTCGTCGTCCTCATCACCAGAATAATCAAATTCCCACTCCTCCTCCTCCTCCTAATCTCCGAGGGCGCGCCGCTGGATGACCCTAAGGGGGGGGGAGGGGGGACCCCCCCCCCTTCCTTTGCCCAATCCGTCGTCGGGGACCACCCCCCCTCCCCCCTTTCCCGATCCGTCGTCGGGAACCCCCCCCACCCCCCCCTTTCCCGGTCCGTCGTCGGGGACCCCCCCCCATCCCCCCTTTTTCAAAAGGGGGGGGGGTCCGACCCCCCTCCCCCCCCTTTGGCCGCCAAATTCGAACCTCCCCCCTCCCCCCCTTTCGCCACGGCGCCCCCGGTCTCCGGAACCCGACCCCTACCACCCCCAACACTAATCCCAGCCTTACCCTAGCTCCTAACCCTAACCCCAAACACAAACACTAGCCCCAAACAGCACTCAGTGCTCATTACGCACTACCCACCACCCACAATTCACTACTCGCTACTCACTACTCACTTCTCGCTACTCACTACGCACTACTCACGACTCACTACTCACTACCCACCATTCACTACCCACGACGCACTACTCACTACTCCCTACTCCCTACTCACTACTCACTACTCACTACAAACTACTCACTGCTCACTAACCAGTACTGAACATTCACTACTAACTAAACACAACTGACTACCCACTTCTCACTCATTACAAATCACTACTCACTACCCACTAACCACTATCTATTACCCACTACTCACAGTTCACTACTCACTACTCATTGCCCACAACTCACTACTCCCTATCCACTACTTGCTACTCGTTACTCCCTACTCCCTACACAGAACTCATTACTCACTATTCACTACTCGCTACTCCCTACGCCCTACTCGCTACCCAATACGCACTATCCACTATCAATTACTCACAACGCGCTACGCTCCGCCTACTCACTACTCACTACTACCTACTCCCTACTTACTACTCCCAACTCACTACTCACTACTCACTACTCCCTACTCACTACTCACAAGCCACTACTCACTACTCACTACTCACTACTCGCTAATCCCTACTCGCTGCGCACTACTCCCTACTCACTACTCACTAGTGCCTCATGACTACTCCCTCCTCACTACTCACTACTCACAACGCCCTACTCGCTACTCGCTACTCCCTACTCGCTACTCGCTACTCGCTACTCGCTACTCACCACTCACTACTCACTACTCTCTACTCACTGCGCGCTACTCACTACTCACTACTCACTACTCACTCCTCGCTATTCGATACTGTCTACTCCCTCATCCCTACTCCCTGCTTACTACTCACTATGCACCACTCACTACACACTACTCGCTCCTCCCTACTCACTACTCACAATTCCTTACTCACTACTTCCTTCCCGCGTACTCACTACCCACTACTCACTACTCGCTACGCACTAATCTCTACGCGCTACTCACTACTACCACTACCCATTACCCACTACTCACTACTCACCACTCACGACTCACTGCGCACTACTCACTATCAAATACCCACTACTCACCAATCGGTACTCAAAACACTCTACTCCCTACTCACTACCCGAGAGGCCGCCTCCCCAGCCCCCTGTTCGGCGCAAAGGGGGGGAGAGGGGGGGGTTCGACACCCCCACCCCTTCAGCGCCAAGGGGGGGAGGGGGGGGGGGTCCGGACCCCCCCCCCCCATTCAAGGGGGGAAGGGGGGGGGGGTCGGACCCCTCCACCCCCTTAAGGGGGGAGGGGGGGGGGGGTCGAAAATCTCACACCCCCTTTGAAGGGGGGGAGGGGGGGTGTTCTGCGAGCACACACCCCCTTTAGTGTATTCAGGGCCATCCACGGGCGCGCTTTCCTATACTCCCTCCTCCTCCTCCGCCTCATCATCATCATCATCATCATCATCATCATCATCATCATCATCATCATCATCATCATCAGCAGCTGAATTATCATCATCAGAAGCATCGTCATCATAAGCATCGTCATCAACAGCATTAGCAGCATCATCATAATCATCATCACCACCACCACAAACATTATCACCAGCATCATAGACATAATCGTCAGGTCATCATCAGCAGCAGCATCATCAACACTGTCAGCATCATCATCACCATCATCATCATCATCACCATCATCATCAAGGTCATCATCATCGTCATCATCTTCATCGTCGTCGTCATCGCCGTCGCCGATATCGACGAAAGCATAATCACTATCGCCATCATCATCAGCAGCACAATCACCACCAACAGCATCATCATCGTCATCAGCATCACCAGCATCATCATCAGCAGCACCATCATCATCATCACAAACGTCATCAGCAGCATCAGCAGCATCAGCATCGTCGCCACCATAGTCATGTTGGTCGTCAGCAGCAACATCCTCCTCATCATCATCAGCTGCATCATCATTAATATCCAGACCAACAGCACCAACAGTTACTCCGACGGTGGGACCACACATGAGAATCCTTTCGGCTAATCTGGAAAGACCCCTCATCGTCGTCCCCGTGATTGGTGAGGCGTCCTTACTGTCTCCTCTGCGTCATTCTCCTTCTCGCCCGGCGCAGGCCCTCCTCCCGCTCCCTTCGTTGCCCCCTCCTCGCCCTCCTATGTTTCCCAACCATCCTGTGGTGTTGGGTCCTCGCTCCGAAGAGACGATCCCAGTGTCCCTCCTCCCTCCTCCCCCTCCTCCCTCCTCCCCCTTCTCCTTCCAGTACAGCGCTTCGTGGCCCCATAGGGAGCTCCACCGAAGGCCCCAGTGGCAGGGTTTGCATGGCGACCCCGCATTTCGGCGCACCCCTCACACGGTTCGTGGACCCATAGGGAGGGAGCTCCACCGAAGGCCCCAGTGGCAGGGTTCGCATGGCGGCCCCGCCCGCATTTTGGCATTGGGGGGGAGCTCCACCGAAGGACCCAGTGGCAGGGTTCGCATGGCGGCCCCGCATTTTGGCGCACCCCTCACACGGTTCGTGGCCCCATAGGGAGCTCCACCGAAGGCCCCGGTGGCAGGGTTTGCATGGCGGCCCCGCCCCATTTTGGCGCACCCCTCACAAGGTTCGTGGCCCCACAGGGAGCTCCAACTAAAGCCCCAGTGGCAGGGTTCGCATGGCGGCCCCGCACCATTTTAGCGCATCCCTCACACGGTTCGTGGACCCATAGGGAGCTCCACCGAAGGACCCAGTAGCAGGGTTCGCATGGCGGCCCCGCCCCATGATGGCGCACCCCTCACACGGTTCGTGGCCCCATAGGGAGCTCCACCGAAGGCCCCGGTGGCAGGGTTCGCATGGCGGCCCCGCCCCATTTGGCGCACCCCTCACACGGTTCGTGGCCCCTATTGGGAATTCCCCTTGCTTCGTCCCACCTGCCCTGCGGTTCTCGCACTTGCGTATGGTTGGGTCCTTCGCCAGGATAATTTTTCACCCCCCGCCACCTCCTCCCCTTCTATTGCAAGAGCGCGCGTGTCGATGTTCCTTGGCGCCGTCGCCGCCCAGGCCAGCACGGTGTAATGCGGTCCTCCGACCCCGCCACTCTGGCCCCATTTTGGAAACCTTTTCGCAAAGCAAGGTTTCCTCATGAATGCCCGGCCCACGGGGGGCCGGTTTTTCAAGGAGGCGCTTCTAGCTGTGAGGAGGAGGACGACGACGAGGAGGTGGAGGAGGAGCAGGAGGAGAAGGAGAAGGAGAGGGACCAGAGGGAGGGGTGGCCTTTTCCAAGCCTCTGGGGGCCGCCGGAAGAAGAGGAAGAGGAGGAGGAGGAGGACCAGAGGGAGGGGTGGCCCGTGAGGGCTCTGGCCTAAGACTTCCTCGCAATTTACTCACAGACGAGGCTCCCGCCTGAGACTTCCGCCGTACTCAAGCTTTGAGAGACCGAAAGTGACGACAGTTTCAGGATTCCGATAACTCGCTCGGATTACTCACCTGAGCTGCGGGCCCCATAGGGAGGGGGCTCCCGCCTGAGACTGCCCCGCAAGTCACGCACAGACGAGGCTCCCGCCTGATACTTCCCCAAAATTCAGGCCTCAGGGGCCGAAAAAGACGACAGTTACAGGATTCCGACGACCCGCTCGGATTACTCACAGGAGCCGGGGTTCCCAAAGGAAGGGGGCTCCGCTCCCGCCTGAGACTTCCTCGCAATTCACCCACAGACGAAGCTCCCGCTCGAGACAACCTCAAGATGAATGTGTGCGCGTGTGAGTGATGACGATGGTGGTGCTGGTGGTGACGGTGACAACAGTAACGGTGATGATAGCTCTCGCAAAATAAACGATGATGGTGACGATGGTGATGGGTGATGGTGATGGTGTTCACTCACAGACGAGGCTCCCGTCTGACACTTCCTCAAGACTTATGTGTGTGTGTGTGTAAGAGTGAGCGTTTAGGTGTACATGTGTGATATTTCGATTATGACGTTGGTGGTGTGATCGTAATGATGATGATAATGATGATGATGATGATGATGATGATGATGATGATGATGATGATGATGATGATGATGATGATGATGATGATGATGAGTGATGGGTGATAGTTGTGAGTGAGTGAGTGGGCCACTATGGAAAAGTTGATGATTCAGTGAGTGAGTGAGAGAGTGCGAAAGTTATGAGTGAATGAGACTGATCGAGTGAGTGTGAGGACGAGTGAGTGAGTGATAAGTGATTGTGATTGAGTAAGTGATGGTGATGTGGTGGTGCTGATGAGGATAAGGATGACGACAATGATGACGATAATGATAATGGTTATAACGATGGTGATGATAATGACGATGATGATGAAAATGATGATGATGAAGATGATGATGATGATGATGATGATGATGATGATGATGATGATGATGATGATGATGATGATGATGATGATGATGATGATGATGATGATGTGAGTGTGTGAGTGTGTGGGTGAGAAGAGATGGAGTTGTCCTGTTCCTGTTATTGCGCAGTGTGTCCAGAGACAAAGAGCCTATTTTAGATGTGGGGAACAACAACAGTATCAACAGCAGCAGCATAATCATCATCAGCATCCAATGCAGTATTATCAACAGCAGCGTAATCATCGGCATCAGCATCATTGTCATCATCATATGTTTCCTCATCAGAGTCATCACCACCACCACCATCACCATGATCCTTAGCACCTGTATCAGCATGGTCGTCGGTGTTGTCGTCATCATCATCCCCAGTAGTATCAAGTTTCCAATCCTCTTCCTCCTCCTAATCCTCCTCCTCATCATCATCATCAACATCATCATCATCATCATCGTCATCATCAACGTCATCGTAATCAACATCACCATCAGCATAATCACCATCATCAGTATCATCATCATCATCATCGTCATCATCATCATCACCATCATCATCATCATCATCATCATCCTCATCACCATCACCATCACCATCACCATCACCATCACCATCACCATCATCACCATCATCATCATCATCATCATCATCATCATCATCATCATCATCATGACCATCATCATGACCATAATCATCCTTCTCCGCCTGGCAGGTCCCCCGGCAGCGCTCCACGAAGGGCACCGCGGCCGCCTCCAGCCGCCTGAGGGTCTCGCATTCCTCCTTCGCAGGGGCCCGCAAGGATCGACCAGAAGCTCCCTGCCCTTTGGAGGAGGAGGAGGAGGTAACGAGCGCTAGAGAGGCGCGTCCAAGCGGCACGAGCACGCCCCCATAAGAGAAAGACATCGCTTACTTCTCAGCCGGATGCTGACCGCGCTCGAATCTGACAAGTTTCGACCGGTGGTTAGCGCGGGTCTGGAGCTCACGCGAGCGCCCTTTTACAAAGGAGTCGAAGGTTTCAGAGCGCAGGCTGGCGTAAGGCCAGGAGGACAGCAGGGCAGCAGGAGGGGGGGGAGGGGGGGAAGAAGGCGCAGATGGAGCGGAAGAGGGCAGGAGGGCAGGAGGGTAGGAGGGCAGGAGGGAGGAGGCAGGTGGGAGGAGGACTGGAGGGCAGGGAGGAGAAGGGAGGACAGGAGGAGCACAGGGGGGGGGGCCCTGCCCCTCCCTCCCTTTCTTCCACCCCGCTGCCCGCCCCCCTCTCCATTCCCGTCCCCGCCCCCTCCCCCCCCTCATCCCCTCCTCCCCTCTGCTCCCCCGCCTCCGCTCCCCTCCTTCTGCTGTGCGGGGCGGGGGGGGGGGCGTCAACTGACGGCACCCCCACCTCACAGCTCCGTGCCAGGTCCACCCTGGGCCAACCAAGGATCGGTGCAGCTGCCTCCCTGGACGAGCCAGGCGGGCGTGAGCACCGACCCTGGCGGCGAGGGGGGACGGCCAGGCGGCCAGCTGACGTCCCCTGACTATTCCGCTCCTCCCGCCCCTCCGTGGAGGGACGAGAGGAGGGAGAGAGCACACGAGGAGGGTACTCGGCAGGCGCGTGTCGCCGAGACCCCAGCGTTGGTTCCTGACGACGCGTGGACCGTCCCAGCCTTTGGATCGCCAAATCTTTTCACATTGGCCGATTCTGGGCCGCTGGCGGCATGTAACCTCCAACGCCCGCGGCGGGGTCGCTGCCGCGTCGGCACGACACGAGCCTGCCATGCCCGTGGTGGCCCGCTTCGTGGGACACGGGGTCCCGGACGACCCCCGCGGTGTTCTGGTAGCTGAACTTTGCGACGAGCGACAGCGCGGAGTCCGCGTAGACCACGCCGTGCGCCCCGGACCCCACGAATCCCGCAGCCGCCGCCCAGCCGCACGACCGACCAAGGCGCTTCAGGGTCGTCGTCTTCGTCGTCGACGTCGGCGGCGGCGGCGGCGACGGCGGCGGCCTCGGCGTCGGCCTCGGCGTCGGCCTCGGCAACGGCGTCGTCGGCGTCGTCGGCGTTGTCGGCGTCGGCGTCGGCGTCGGCGTTGTCGGCGTCGGCGTCGGTGTCATCGGCGTAGTCGTTGTCGCCTCCTCCTCCTCATCCACATCCTACTACTCATCTCGGCTGTCGCGTCCCATGAAAGCGACAGTTGCGAGCGTGACTCCCGCCTTCGAAGACGACCGAACAAAACCTTCTCCTCCTCCTCCTCCTCGTCCTCCTCCTCCTGTTTCTCCTCTTCCTCCTCCTCCTCCTCCTCCTGCTCCTCCTCCGTCTCCTCCTCCTCCTCCTCCTTTTCCTCCTCCTCCTCCTCCTCCTCCTCCTCCTCCTACTCATCCTCATCCTCCTCATACTCATTATCATCCTCCTCATCCTCGTCCTCGTCCTCGTCGTCCTCCTCCTCCCTTTGTCGTGGTCGCCGTCCTCGTCGTCTTGGTCCGCGTCGGCGTCGGTATCGTCGTCGTCGTCGTCGTCGGCCGCCGCCGCCGCAGCAGACGCCAAGGCCGCAGCGGCACAGAGCGACTCGGGAGAACATGGGACCCCGAATAACGTCTGCGCCGTGGCCCTTGCGGCCTGTGAACCCCGCACCCTCCTCCCCTTCCTCCTCCTCCTCCTCCTCCTCCTCCTCCTCCTCCTCCTCCTCCTCCTCCTCTTGCTCCTATCTCCTACTCCTCCTCCTCCTCCTCCTCCTCCTCCTCCTCCTCCAACTCCTCCTCCTCCTCCTTCTGTTCCTCCTCCTCCTCATCATCCTCTTCCTCCTCCTCTTCTCTTCAACATCCGCATCATCATCAGCAGCATCATCAACAAGATCTACCTCCTCCTCCCCCTCGTCATCACCCTCCTCTTTGTTTCCTCCTTCTCCTCCTCACTCTCCTCCTCAACAGCATCAGCAGCATCATCAGCAGCATCATCAGCACCACCACAACCAGCATCAACACTATATACATCATCAGCAGCAGCATCATCATCGTCAACAGCATCAGTATCAGCAGCAGCAGCATCAGCAACAACATCAGCATCATCAGCAGCATAAGTAGTATCACAATCATCATCCTCGTCAGCATCGCCAGCATCATCAGCATCAGCATCGTCATCAGCAGCAGCATCATCAGTATCAGCATCATCACTATCACCATCATCCCCATCATCACCAGCATCACCATCATCAGCATCATCAATATCAGCAGCAACAGCAACATCAGCAGCAGCAGCATCAGCATCATCAGCAGTATCAGCATCGTCATCGTCATCAGCACCAGCATCATGTCCGTCATCAGCAGTATCATCGTCATCCGCATCATCAACATCATCATCAGCAGCAGCAGCATCATGATCATCATGAGTATCGCCATCATCGTCTGCCTCTGCCTCCTCCTCATCCTCCTCCTCAACATCATCAGCAGCATCATCAGCAGCATCATCATCAGCACCATCATCAACATCATCTTCATCACCATCACCACCACCATCAACATCATCAACATTATCTTCAGGAGCAGCATCGCCATCATCATTATCATCAGCAACAGCATCACCACCACCACCACCACCACCACCATCATCAGCATCATCATCATCATCAGCATCATCATCATCTCATCATCATCATCATCACCACCACCATCATCATCATCATCATCATCATCATCATCATCATCATCATCATCATCATCATCATCATCATCATCATCATCATCATCATTATCATCGTAGTCGTCGCCTCACCCGTCCCGAGGAGGACAACGACGACGACACCGAAGAGCCCGGCTGGTCGCGCCACAGGGAGCAGCAGCCGCGGACTCGGGGATCCCCAGGCGTCGCAAGACGCGGGCGGAGGCGAGAAGCTCACGCGACGCACCGCTGCTTCTCTGGGCGATCGCCAGTCTACGTATCCATGCCCCTGCTGCGGCCACAACTATTCTAATTTCTGAGAAGGGCGCCGTGGATAAAGCGTTAGGACCCTGGAGCACATGATCCCTATCTATGCCTTGGCCCTGCCCCATCCCCACCCGAACCCCGCCTGGCGCCCAAAGTGGGGGGCAGCAGCACATGTATGGATCGAACGTCGATCGCCGATTCTACCTCGTGGTACCTCCTCCCCCCTCCGTCTCGGGAGGGAAGGGGAGGCAGAAAGAGGCAGAGGGAGGAGGAGCAAGGAGGAGAGAGGACGAGGAGGAGGAGGAGGAGGAGGAAGAGGAGGAGGGGAAGAGGAGGAGGAGGAGGAGGAGGAGGAGGAGGAGGGGAGAAGGAGAGGAGA